AGACTATTCAGATCGCTGAGTGGTTTTATTGTTTCACATGGTTTTTATGTGAGGAATTGATGCTGGTAACGGAGATATTGACAACTGAAAGAAAAGAGGTAACTGATAAGAAGTGTTCACATTGTTATAAGTTTCAGCGAATGATGCGACATCGCAGATCAGTTTCAAGCGATCGAGACACGGTAGTGCTGAGTGATTCATCTGAAGATAATTCACCAAAACGTCGGAGTGGAAAGAGGTTTGTGTTCAATAGACAACTCTAGTGTTATATATGTGTGTGTGTTTGTGTCTTTTCTGAGTATAATGGAGCTGCTTGAACCAGTTGTAAGCCAAGTGAAACATTTCAGCTCACAACTTTACGAAGCGATTCATTTTCCGGTTCAGTTCTATTTTTGTGTGATTTTATTTTGTTTATTAAGAAATGCGAAACGGAAAATGTTAAAAGGTCATTGTTGCATTTTATCAAATCTCATTTCGACAGGGTGATAATAGCTTTTGGAATGCGTTCTCGATACGTTTGTAGGAAAGTGCGAAGAAGTGGACGAGATAGTGGTGATCGCATGACAGACTTATTGGATCAGTCCAATGAACGCATGGTTGAAGATTTAGAGAAGTCGATCACAGAACATCAAAAACAAATGCAAACATTAGAGGGGAAAATTAGGCAGCGAGAATCGAGACGCAATTCAACCATATCAAAACGCGATCGATATTTGGTAGTATCGTTAAAATATGATTTTTCGAATGCTTCACTTATGATAATCATTATTTCTCCATTCCATCTCAACATGCTGTCGGATCGTTGTTGAAAAATAATTTTATTAATTCATGTTAGAATTGTGAGTAGCTGGCAGGTCTAGAAAAAGATATTACTATGTGCACATGGTGGTGTTTTTAGTTTCGATTAGATCATTAGTTTTCAGTTGAGAACACATTGAAAAAATGCATTTGGAAGGTATATGACAGCTGTGATTTGAAGTCTATGAAACATGATCACATGACAAATTTTTGCGTTGTGTGCAGAGAAACGAGTAGAATCATTTGAAAAATTTTTGTTTACTAATTGTTCTCATATGAGAGCAGCCACTACTGGTGGCTTAATGGATCGAATCAACTTGAAAATGGAAGGAAGGAATGAATGGTGAAGATTGCCTTCAAGCCTCGAAAGAGTAACATTTTCAGCAGCTCTAATTCTTACCTATGATATGTTTGTGTATATTTTAGAATCACGCCTATCGTTGTTGTCAAGAAATTGGTTTTCTTGAGTCTGAACTGTTGATGTTTCGTGGTGATTTGGAAACGGTCAAAGCGAAAATGACATTCTTGGAACGGGAATTTGACAAGATGAAGAAGAAGAGCGAGAGTCGACGCGCTCTAAAATCGCAAGAATCCATTGCCGTTAAGTCGGCCACCCGAAAAGGTTCCAAGTATCGAGTCATAGCGAACAGAGAAGATGATTTACTACAACGCGATGATGACCTTGATCGAAATGATCGGGCACTTTCGGCAAACCATCCAAATGACGCATCGAATAGCTGTGGCATGGATTCAATGTCTCGGCCAGAAAGCACTCATCAACAGACAAAGACGATGAGATCGTCAACGATCGATCGGGTGATGAACACTGATCAAGGCATGGCTGCAATGAGCAATGCGAAGCCTAGAAGCCGTTCACATGTGGACAATGAAAATGATGAAGCAACAATTGTTGAGCATAGTGAAATGGATGGAAATGATTTGGTATCGGCACTGAATAAGCAACATTTCGGTAATGGAAATTTTTTTCTGGAAGACGATGACTCTGGAGAGGAGGAATCAGGCGATTTGATCGAGCACATTGAGGAGCGTGATGACATCGATGAAAGTGATGTGCAGCAGCAGCAGCAGCAGCGCAAAGCACATGAACAAACTCAACAGCTTCGACGAAGTGGCAGCAGTCGTACCAAGATCGGTTCTGGAAAGAACAAGGAGCGAGAGTTAATCGGCGAAGAACAGGAGCAACGGAACGATTCTGAAGCAGTGGCAGCAGCAGCAGCAGCAGCAGCAACACCAGCAGCAGATGGGAGTGAGCAAAGCGATCATGAGCACGACATAGAGGGCTCGACCATCGATGAAAACAATCACAGTTTTCGATCGTTTTTGGATGAAGATGCCGGGAGTTGGTGTTTAGTGGATTGTGTGGATCAAGAGGAATGCAGCAGTGAGGCTGCTACTGCTAGTGCTGCTGATGTACATTCACCAAGTAATCTGGCGATGAATTTGAACAGCGTAAAACATAAACGACGACAATTGTTGCCAACAGAAGAAGAAGAAACTAGTGGTCTGAGTTCAACGGAGGACATGTTGACAGGTCAAGCAGCACCAATGACGACCGCAAGAAGTACGGCAGACTCGAATGATGTGAATATTCCAAAGAACATTACGGCTGTTCAAAGGAAAATGCCATTAAATGATGTAAGAAATGTGCAACCATCGCAACGATCAAACAAAGAGAAATCGACATCGAAACCGAATGATATGCTAGACGAAGAGGCCGTTAAGCAGTTGAAGGAGGATTTTCTGATTCGATTTGCTGGTTATAGGTATGTGAAGATTTTCTTGTTCTTCATTGTTATTGTTATGCGTGTTATAAGTTGATTTTAGTGAGAACTCAGTTGGGATTTAATTATACGAATTGCTTATGAATTTTTAAAGTCATTTAGGGAGGATTCATTCTCTCCTTTAAAAAAAAAACAAAACAAGTCTATTCAAAAGGATTGCTCGAAATTGACGCATCCATGTGAAATATTTGTTTGATAAGTTCGAATAGTTTTTGAAATGTTTTCTATTGAATTGAGAATTTGTCCGACCTTCCCGTACAATTTAATCACCAACCGATCGGTATCGAATAAACTCGACCCAATGCGACCGTTATGCTATTATGAACTTCACGGGATATGCAAAGATGATAGTTGTACAATGTGAGTTCGTTCTGTTGTGAAATCTTTGAAAATCAGTTTGTATTGGAATTTTTGCAAAAACTGAGCCGATGTTTGGTTGTTAACATTGAGTTTGGTCATCATGATCAACCTTTGGTTTTACGCTCTACTCGTTGATCTAAATATTATGAGCAATCTTCTGATAGGCTTTTGCTTTGAACGGAGTTGTAAGATGAGCATTCAACATCAAAGTCTTGAAAGTAGTCTGCTGCTGCTGCTGCTTGGTTGACCCATTTTTGATTTGAAATTAAGGCAACATGAATCTGATTATTTGATGTCTGACGAGGAAATACTGTGTAGTGTGTTCGCGCATTGTCCAACTTTGTGTCCTGCTGAGAAAATGTTTTGTGAGTTGCTCGAATATTTTCACTTTATCTATTCGTTCTTTCGTTTTTTAGCATCACACTCATTGGTGCTCATCAACATTCACTATGCCTTGTGAACTTTCTTTTTTAAGTGTTCATAATCGGATTATGAAGAAAACCTTGTGGATTGAAATGCTGAAGTATTTATTGTGTTGTGTCCCACCTCACACTCAAAAAAAAGTTGAATCTCTAGCCGAGTACGCCAAAGAATTGCTGAACAAGAAGCCGTCAAAACCAGTCGGTGAATTGGTGAGTGAGTTGTTGAGCGAAATACCCGAATCGAAGCGAGTTATCAAGGCGTGTGATATGGCATCTAGATATGATCCTGAGCCGAGTGTTGAAGGTTACTTGCATTTCGTTTTTATTTCATTGATTTCATTTTGTCAAATCAATTTGATATACTAGCTATACTCTAGAACATGGAACATAGTCATGCTACTAGGCGTATCTGTTCGGTGATTGGTGTGCATGTAATGATTTATTTTTGTTTCTAAATGGAACCTCATTTCTGTTCAAAAGAAATAGTTTGTGCATGTTTCAATCGAATGACCAGTATCTGATTGTTCATTTCCTAAATCAAATGAAAAATTCACCATTTGTGAATTGATTGAGGAGTTGTTTTTGTTTTTGGTAGATAATTTCAGATTGCGACGAAGAAATAGCGTATAATATATGGCCAGCTTTGACAAGGTCAGTTTTACATAATTCAGTTGACGCCAGTACTTCAGATATCGTGGATTTGAATTGATTGATTGATGCCTTTCGGTTTTGACTGGAATTTAACTTTTACTTGAAGACTGCTCAATTCGAAGAGTTGAATTGACATTTTGGAGAGTGGAACTTTTTTGATTTAAAATAGTAGTTGAACAGTGTACAGAGGACATGGATGATTATTGCTTGCGGATCGATTGCAGTTCTTTTCAACGGATAATACCTCTTGTAAATGGGGTTGTGTTCTGGAGATTGTCTCGTATCATTATGTCACATAGCAGTTGATAATAATTTGACGTTGAATACACTTTACTGTCGTTGTTATCGGTCTCATCGTTTTCGAGTAGTTCTAGTTCCATCAACTAGTATTACTACGTTGCCAACATTAAATTTCCAATCTACTGTAATGCTGTTTTCGTTTCTTTGCCAAATGTGGATTTTACAATCATTTGAGATATTGAAACCCGAACGGATTACGCTCATCGCAATTTCATGTTTGATTTTTAGCTCAATACTCTTGTGTATCATTGAAATTTTCGTTTTTTT